CTCAGGCCTGAAGAAGTCACACTGAATATAAACTAATGCAGTTCACTGTTGAAGGAAACACAATGATGGGTTCAGAGGGATCTGCCTAGTTTCAGGTTTAGACAACAGAAACATCATCACCTTAGATTTTATGAAGCTTTTGATGTTTCTTCTTTTCCCTACTTAAAATCAATTTAATCCACAGGGTTTTTTGTTATACATTAAAATAAACACATGTAGTAATAATAAATTACAGTCTGTGAGCATAGTAGTACTTGTGAGCAAATAACCAGTAATGTACAGTAATTCTTGTTAAAGTTTCAAGTTTCAAGGACAACAATTATTGAATGTATTCAGAATTTTATAATTTTTTCGACATGAATCATCACATTATTGGTCACTGAGGGCTTACCTAATACAGTTATAGAGACAGTATTACTGTTCTTTGTAACACGTGGGTCCTTCCTGAGACCAGAGCACTGATATTCACCACTTTGACTTGTTGTTGTAATTTGTGATCTGTGGTCTGTGTGTTCACTGTAGTGGAGAAATTCCTGACCATCCTTATTGAAAGTGTAATACCAGTCAGTGTCTTTTCCTTCATTCATGTCACATTTGAAGGTAACAAACTCTCCAATGAAAAAACTGGACCGGTTGGGTTCAATAGTTAGGACAGCATCTAGAATCCAACACAACCACAAAGTTAACAATCTGAAACACTTTTATGAACAACACAATCTGTGACAGTATGTTCATACACTGTTCATACATTGATTAGTAAATAAATATAAAACACAAGTCAACTGTAATTAAGATTTATTCGGTATTTTGAGATGAATCTTTACCAAATAAATTAAAAGAAATAAACAAAAAAGTGAAAACTGTTCAGTCACCTTGAGCGTGTCCAGTGCAGAGGAGCGTACAGAGCACTACAATAAAGATAGAAACTTCAGACATGATCAAACTAAAGACACTCAAATATGAAATAAATCAAACACTTGTGGTTGTTCCAGTGGCTGCTATGATTTGTATGCATCAAATTATCACTAATGGAGAAACAAACCTTTCTTAGATAAACTAAACCAGCTCCACTCTGATCTGAGTCAGTGCACTAAAATCTAATCCAGTCTACAAACAACCATGTTGGTAACAAACATGAGAGTCCTCTGATCACATGACCTG